CGCAAACCACCCGTTGAGCCGGTCACCGACAAAGATAAGCATGAAGCCACGGTGCCTCCCAATAGAAGTTCATGAGGCAATCGGGATCGCGCCAGTCGTCAGTGAGTAGAGACTGACCCAACACCTCACCAGGTACAAGTCAGTCAGTTTGCCTGTCCTCAAGCTGCTCAGGCACAACCTGCTCCGAGCGAAACCTTATGACAGCTCACACCGCAGCCTCTAGGGAGATTTCCCCCAGGACCTGCTCGAAGATCGGGAACTTGGCCCCTTTCGCATCCTGTTGGCTGCTTCGCGAGGGATCAACTAACTCGAAGCGGGATGCAGCCACCCTCTGTAGAGAGTCCCACCCCCGCCTTATTCTGCAGAATGGTCGTCGGCGCGCGGTCTCTTGCCTTAGCATCATCCTCCGCATCCGTGTAGAAAGAAGGCTTCCAACACCTCGAGGGATTGGAGATACACAAGATCTGCAGCTGCCGCACCCTCCTGATCGGACACAACGGTGTCAGCCCCTTGGTCAAGACAGTATCCCGATCTACAAGCCATCGTAAAGTCTTCCCACCACGGTACCCACCAACGGTCTCAAACAAATCATATCAGGCGGAATGTGCCTGCGCCTGACGAAGCTCATGCTCGCACAATACGGCAACCAGCCAGTGTTGCCAAGAACCTCAGTTTCTATATAATGAATCACAACAAACAGTATTGCAAAGTGACGGTGGAGCCCAGATGCAAAGTCAGTCGAGTACTGCCATCCAAGCTCATCCGTTTCACCTTCCACCGGGAAAGTGCTCCTGGTGGCAGCAACCCCGCACAGTCCACCAAGCACAAAGCGGACGTTTTCGCATCGAGTGATGATACATGCACGAGCGCTCTCCAGGTGCATCGTCGGCGCTCGCCGAGAAACTCCACCACCTCCACCGGAGGTGTCTCACTAGCCTCGGCTCTCCCTCTCGTATGAGAATCCATTCTTTGTTCGCTCTTTTGCTTGCTTCTGCTTACTCGTGATGACATTCTGAATCTTCGGTGTGCTTGCATTCAGCGGGTCGTCTTTTTTGCGCGTTCTCACTTCGTGCTGCTTGAATACCGGTCTTTCTTGATAAAATGAACAAACATCGCCTCCAGCCTACCTTGTTGCGACGACCCTACCATTGAAGGACAAGTTCTCCGATTAATTTTCTATTAGGTAAGAAACCCTTTCAAGTACATGGCTGACACGCCCAACATGTCACGCAGCTTCCCTGCTGTGCTCCATATTAGTCTGGCTGAGACTGCGATGCACACTGTGTGTATGTGCGCATGAATTTTGCGCATGTGCAGGCATGAACTTCCGTGGTCATCCGAGCGGCCGAAATCTTCTGTTCGTCCACACCTTCAGGGATGAAGGGATGGCGCGAGTAGGAGTTGTCCTCGAAGGACACCCACTTCATCCTGGGCGAAAGCATCCCGCAGCAGGTCTTGAGTTGCACACCTTTCCTGGACCCTCCCCCGCCCCAGCTCTGATGCACACCAGGCATCTTCCCGACTCCATCATGTGGAAAGTATGGTGCCTTCCAGTTGTTTTTGAAGAGATTGGTACGCCGCTCCAGTTCCCACATGGATAGCTCTTTCAGCACCTGGAAGTTTGCAAGAAGTCGGCGAGCACTTTCCGACATGCGTTTCACGGTGCTGCACAAAATGACAACCGGGGATGCTTTCAATGTGCCCAGGGACTGCTTCCGGCGAGATAAGCGAAGACGTGCGCTGAAGGCGGGTGATCGCAGGCGATGCTGTCGCTGGTGCAGGTTTCTTGGCCTCGGCCTCCTCGTAGATGCCAAAAAGGTCTGCACCCACCTTCAAAGCGGGTCAGTCACAAAAACCCTGGTGAGAGTCTCTCCTTTGCGTAAGCTTCTCCGTACGCAAGGGAGCTACGGAGCTACTTTTCTTGCTAGCTAGTTCAGGGCGATTCGTTGGCAGATCGGACAAACCAAACCCAAAGCGTCTGCATGACTGCTTGACCTGTGCATGGCAATAGACTTTCAAACCTTTCCAAATTGCAGGCGGCACGAAGTAGGTCGCGCTCTTCTGCAGCGCTCCCAGATCAGCGAACTCAAATATCCGCAAGTCCAGCTCTTTGACGCCCTCAGGCCAAGAAGGCAGGAAGAAACCTGGCGATGTGAGAGCTGCTACACCGACGCTCCTGACCATCGAACTCGATCTCATCCTTGAAATAGACGAGCACAGGGTACGTCTGGGCGTGTGCCGTGTCTACCAACCTCAAACCTCGGTGTGCAGTCCACATGCGTGGAGGCGATGGAAACAGTTCCCCAGATTCCAGCCCGGGAGCTGGCGATCTCGTCCCACTTCGCGGAGCAAGAGACTTCCACGCCCAGGACGCAGGAGTAGAAGCAAAGGCGCGCGTTGGTGATAAAGACTTTGCCTGAACACAGCCCGCTCCTCAGACTAGGTCCGCTGGCCACCGTGCTGCGGCACATGTGGGAAGTATGCAAGGGGCCTGGATGCCGGAAGCTCTTTACCTTCACAGATCCCGTCAAAGCCTGGACGAACACTTCGCCTGGCAGCATCGAGACTCTGACCTCTAACACAGGATGAAGGCTAGCGGCTTGACGCCTGCACGTCCTACTTCAGAGACTTTCCAACTGGCATGTCTTCCTTGGGCACCGCTCCGAGTACAACCTCCCTTCCCTCAAGCCAGGTTTGACATCGGGAAGCTCCAAAGACCCTGGCATTGCTTCGGAACGCGCCTTCGACCTGGGGGAAGTTCTGAGTGAACTCAATGGCCTGGCCATCCGAAGAAGCAACAAGGTGCGAGCCTTTGATCAGTGCTCCCAACACTCGCCTCGTTGCTGCTGCTCATGCGCCGTTGCGCCTCACTGACTCCCAGTTCCTGAGCTTTCAGCTTCGCCGAAAGCAACAGCAAAGTCTCAACGTCCAGCCTTGCGCAGGTTCTCGGCGCCCTCTTCATGGCCTCGCAGGGGCTTCAACTCTAAGTCCGAGACCACCCGCAGTAAGCACAAGGCTGCGGAAGACCGCGGCTGCACGGGGGCTGGAGGGGCATCAGCAAAGTTGGTTACGCTGGGCCGCCGTTTCCGAATTCCGCCGTTTCTCGCTTCACGGCATGGCTGGGGTTCTCAGAGCTTGGGAGTCTTGGGAAGTCATCACGTGCTCTCCACGCTGTGGCCTTTGGTAGCACGCTGCCTTGAATCAGCCCACATGTACACTGTTTCGGTCAGACGTGTTGCTGTGACCCTATGACACCAGACGAGCAGATGAGCAAACCCCCTCGTTCCCTGGGCCAGCATCAGCACGGCCACATCCTCTTTTCCCTTGTGAGCGCTGCCCCGCCCTGTATTGCACTGCCCAGGGCCCAGGGCAGTGCAAAAGGGCCTTGGCCGCGGAGCCAGCGCTCCACCGCAGCCAAGTGCTGCTCCGCAGCACGCAGATGCTGCAAAGGCAAGTCCTTGAAGCTCGCAGACCGCGTTGCAACGCTCGCAGAATCCCTTCAACCGCTTCCAAGCTGCGTCATCGCCGGCGTCGTCCTTGACGAGAACTTGCACTCTCCGAAGCCATGTTGTCTGTGCTCCACCGACAAAAAGCCGATTACCGGATTCCCTGCCTTGAACTTCTCCCACAAGCTGACACACAAAGTCCGTGATGCATCCTTGTCGCGGAGCTCGATGCACTTCTGTCGTGCCCGGGTCAGGACCTGTCACAAAGCCGATAGAATCTGAGCTGAACATCACTGAAGAGCCCATGAGCAGAAGCAGCAGGAGCAGCGTGGACCTTGGATGCCTGGCGCCGCCGCGCTGCAGCACCACACATCGCATCGCACAGCCGTCCCAGTGCCCTGCGCATGGGTAGGACAGACGCCGGTGTCTTGACGTAAGCATCACCATTGAAGCACCAATGTACAATCTAGTGCGCACACATGTGCTCAGATGTGGTCCGGCAAGCTCTGGCCATGCACACTCCGCCAGTCCACATGTCAAGGTACACGTGCGTGAAGAAGCTGCATGCCATTGACGATGGTTGACCCCAGCTTCCACAAGTTGTTCAACCAATCTTGCTTCTTTAGGAATTGCCTGAGGGGCACTATGCGGCCTGCTACATCCTTTCTCCATAGTTATCTACACATCATGTGCTGTGCTCTACACACACCCGACAGCTGATCAAGAACCGCAGACGTTGCTGCAGATTGCCTTCGGCCAGATCCTAACGCGAGGATTGGTGAACCGGAAACAGAGTCGGATCTGCCATCTTACGACAACGGAGAGAAGATCAGAACTAAGAGAAGCCCAGGCCTGTTGGGCTCGTGTGGCTTTATGGGCGGGAGATGGCGGGAGTTTGGTACAGTACTCAGCAGGGCACAAGCCAGGCCGCCACCTCCGGCCGAAGAAGGCTTCAGGCTCCACAACGCAACAACCAGAAACAAAACGATTCAGTCTGTGAGTACAACCACACAGCCTTGACCATGTGCCTGGGTGCAGCTTTTGAGGCCAGCAACAGTTGACCAGGAATGAGCAGATGCCACCATGGTGATGAAGTGCCACAAAGGAGACATTGACAGCTGCATATCTCTTCCCCTCTCTTCTGTATGAGTCTTCCTTCCGCTGAGCTTGCGAGCTTAGAACATGCGCTTCCCCTGTCACCACAAGTACACAACAGCATCGTTTCTTCTTGCTCTCCATCGCACAGTCCTCCCTCCAAGCCTCAAAGGTGAGCATCTTCTGGAATCCGCCATGGCCATGGCTATGACTGAAGAAATGTAGCTTAGCTGAGCTGCAACTGTGCCGGGAAGACGTTGTGGGCTTCGGCTGGTGCGATGCGGTGGCATCGGTTATTTGTTCCGTACTAAAAGGAGTCTCATGTACGTTGAAGCCATCTACGGTCATGGACTTCGGCATTGACTAGAGCTGGGCTCCTGATGGAAACACGCAAGAAGAACGCACGGATGCAACAGGTTGCACCGAAACGTCCATGCTCCGAGCTCGTGAGGTCAGGGCTTTGCCGGCAAGCTGGCCGACCAGCACGAGGCGCTTTGGCCTCTCCCAAACCTCCAAAAGCAAGACAAGGATGCCAGCACACGGAGAGACAGAGATGATACGATGCTGGCGGTAGAGCCTTTCACAAGCCTCCAAAGATTCCACAAAGGCATGCCTGCCTGGAAGCACAGCGGCGACGCGAACGGCGTCGGCGCCAGCTTCCCGGTGGCCTGGTCGGCTCGCTAGGCATTCCAGAGAGACCGCGCACTCGTAGCCCAACATCCTGGACCTCGTCCGCATCAAGGCGCTTGAAGCACAGCTCGCCCCTGCAGCCAGGGGGAAGCAAACACACAAGTGTTCCTCACATCTGGTTTGCCTGGACGCTGGCTGAGACCCTTGCTCGAGGGTGCCGGGCACCGGCGAGGCTACACGCCCGAGAATGGCCTCGTATCCGGAGGCCTCCGCAACTCCACACCAAGACGTGGCAGAAGTAGCAATTGAAGTGGTCAGCTTGACCCAGGCACCTCTAAAACCTTCGCATGCTCGGCGACGGTGACAATGACCTGACATCCATATGCAAAACAGGACGGCTCCCAGCAGCTGCAGAGGCCGTGATTCTTCTGAAGAGGACGACGGATCCTATAAAAACACAACTCCGAAAGCGGTCGAAGCAGGTGAGGCCCCGGAACAAAAACATGTGACGGCAAGAACAAGCAGAGCTGTTTAAGCAAGCAACTTCCACCCCCTCTGACAGGCGTGACCCACACCTAAGCCATGCTCGCTTCTTCTTCTTGTTACATGGTTACACTGGTTACTTGTTGTGAGATGATGTTGTGAGGACTTACGAGTCACCATCCCTCGGCACACATCACCACACTTGCAAAAGAATCCCTTCCATGGATCGGCGACACGGACGCGTCTTTCCGGGATTCCCTCGTTAAATATCTTTTCCTGAAGCATCCACGACGACCTGCACAATTCCCTAGCCAAAGCCACACCGTGCGGCGGGAAACGATAGGCGTAATGAGCATCTGAAGCAAGCTTCCGTGCAATACCGGCACATGCTAGTGGCCTCGCGGCCCAAAGTGGAGACCGCTAGGAGCAGCTGTGCCTGGGCCAAGTGCTGCCTGACAGGTGCAACGAACACAGAAACAGGATGCTGCGGCCTGTCCATTGCAGAATTTTCTGTTCGGTGGTTCAAGCGCTCGCCGGACTCGTATACGCTCTGGGCTGCTGCTATCTCCGAAAGGGTCGCAGTGCGCAAATTGCTGCAACGGACGGCCTTAGCCCTTTCTGCAGATCAGAGATGGCAGACTCTCCTGCCAACATGACTCAAGTGCTCAAGGAATCCGGTGGACTGAGCTTGTTTGACAAGGCTTCCTTCGCTCAAACATGCCTCAAGGCTTGAGCCTCAAGGTGTGCAACTAGCCTTTGAGCGGAACAGATCGTGGCGAAGATCTGAAGGATGCTTTCCCATCACGAAAGCAGGATGGCCGTTTCTACGTACTGGCAACGAATGGAAAGCAAAGAACCCTCGCCCCAGCGCGCCTCCAGGCTGTACAAAGGAGAAGTTGTCCAAACCGGCGGCATGGATGCATGCGCCACCCTTGCAAAATAAGATCTTGAATCTGGAACAGATGATGCCCTTTTAGAGCACCCCAAAGTTTGCAAAGCAGTCTTCAAGAAGACAGAGAAGATAGCACCATGTGTCATGTGTCACATGTGGCAGGAGCCGTTTACCTGCATTCTGTACAAAGAGACAGATGATGCCCAACCTCCACCACCAGATTGACATTGGAGACTTCCTCGGCACCGACAGAATCCGACAGAAATCCGATCGGTCATCCCTCCTCGTTGCTCCCTGGTCTTACTGCAAATCGTTGACCCTGCTATTGCACAACAGATGTTGGCTCGATTTGGCATAGAGATAGGAGGATTCTCGAGGAGGAACCCGGCTGAACCTGAACACCAAGAACTTCGACACTCTTGCCCAGCAGCGCTGTCTTCCAGATCGAATTCAAGGGCATCTAGCCGGTCCTCCAGTGGAACCATTGAAGGAACCACGCGCTTCAACAGACGATTGCAGTGCCGCACTACCAAGTCGAATTCAATCGCAGCCCGGTCCCCATTGAAACATGCATCTGAGTGCTGCACAAGTGAACAATGCCCCACGCAACTCCATGGCAACAACTCAACTGCAGTCACATGCAATCCCTTTTGGGCTCCTCTGCCGAACGGCAAGTGAAGTGCACACAGCCAGATTCGGGGGCATCTGATACATTGCCTCAATGGCCGCGCATCTCGAGAGAATCACTGTCTGTCACTGTTTTTTGGACATGTGCCCCTTGCAAGCAGGCGGAATCGAAGTAAGCAGAGCCCTCTAGATCTAGGCGCCGAGCTTTGCCAGCCTTCCGCAGCCACGGCTGCGCCCGCAGCTTCGCGCAGCGCAGAAAAGCGCAAGGCCTTTCGATCAGATAAGAGGCACTGGATTGACCGGCATAACATACGCTGGGGAACCTCCATTCTCAGGAGAAAGCCTTCATGACCTCGGCAAGAAGTAGAAACTTTGGGAAGTGCAAATGGCAAGATGGAGAAGACATGCGATCTACATCTGAGTGCTGTTGATGGACCTCGTGAGCCACTGCAAGCTGTATCTCATAAGGTGGCAACCACCGACGGCTAAAAAGAGCGTGCTTGCTGTCGAAGTACTATACTCTTGCAAAGCGCAAGCCTGTGCACATGCAGCTTGCAGGGCCCCAACCGCCAGCAGCCTAACACGAGGCACAAACGAGGCATCGGCAATGAAACTGAGCTCCGATGTGGACGCAGTCCCTGGTCTCGCCTTTTGCCGCCGTGGCTCAGTGCAGCCCTGGGCCTCGAGTGCCAGGCGCCCAGAGGCGTCGAGACCCACATGGACCTGCAAAGCACCAGAGCACCAGAGCACACAACTGTTGTTGTCGGTTCCTGGCAAGCTCGGGGCCAAACCCAACAGCCCCGACGCAGACAACGAAGCCTGAGCCCAGAACACGTGGCCAAGGCGCTCCTGGGCGAGCCTGAGCCTGAGCTCCGCGCGACTGTCCATCTGGCAGGCTCTCCACCTGGCGCTGACCCTATACAATGCCTGACTATAAGCATGGAAGGCAGAGTCCAGACAGGTCCTCGCTATGAGATGTCCATGGTGGCTGAAGGTAGCGGCGAAGGATGCTCACGCGAAGGCACAGACAGACCGACGCATTCACGAGCGACACAGTTTGAAAGATAGGCATCAGAGGACTTGGAAGGACAAAACCAAGTCTCCTCGGCCAGGCATGCTTTTCTGCAAACGAATCTGATTCCGCTTATCCTGAATGAGCGAGAATCCCTTGAGGCGACAGCAGCAAGGAAAAACGCAGTCTTTCTTGCCGCGGCCTGCGATTCATCCAGAAGCGGCGCGCCTTTTGAAGGAACGACCTCGCCAGTGCTTGCTTGGAGCTTTCACACAGCCTTTGACGACCTGTGATCACGCACAAGCTCTTGTGACGGACTCGGAGTCTGCAGAGGCTCTGTATCCGGGCCTGCAGCAATCCAACCCGCAGCCGCCGCATCGTGAATGCAGAAACAGCAGCATGTGCTTGGCGCAAGACCTGCACTCAGCACAGAATCGTAGGAGCCTTGCACAGAGCACATCCATGTCTCGCCTCGTCGAGACAAGGTCCCACCCCGCCCAGGGAAGCGAGTCGCGAGGGCCGCTGCACCGGCAGCGGAGCGAGCGAAGCGAACTCCGGAGGCAGGCTGGGGCCTGAGAACGGCTCCACATGTTCACCAAGCACTGCCACCACTGCAGAACATGAGGCCAGGGCGAATCCCTCCGTCAGGATCCTCACATGGCACAGAGGAAGAAAGGGCACATACATGACGCGCCGCTCAACCTTGTGCAGCTCCAAGGTGATCCCACTTGCCGGACCTGCTGCGAGAAAGCTACAAGCACCGGTCTCCGCTGTGCTGCTCCCACGCACCGCGTCACCGCCTTGAGCTTCATCCGTGGAGGCACGGGTGGAACTAGCTGCAGGTGCTGCGCAAATCCCACCACAGGTAGATTCCCAGTCCTCGGAACTCGCCCACTGCACATTCCACTTCCCAAGTATACGGATATGATACGTAGCTGCTCATCAGACCCAATAACCTGCTGTCCAGGCACTGGCAAGATGCGGAGAGATGCAAAGCCGCGGCGATCCCAGAAAGTGCTGCTCACCTTGGACTCCAAACTGGAGAGCCGCTCGGTCCACTCAAAAGAAAGAGGCTCGGCCACCGGCTTCCCGCAGCTGGCCGTGCGCACGTGCCTCATCGCAGCAGGCTTGGAGCCAGAGGTGTGAGCCTCGCGTCACTGCAGATGTTTCCGACACCTCCCCGTTATTCAGTTATGGTCACCTGTTGTAAATGTTAGCACTCTGGATCCTCTCCAAGACTGTTGAAGTATCCAAGTCCCGGACAGAAGAAATGTGCAGCCGTCGCCAAAGCAGCCTCGCGACAGACGAATCAAGGCTTGGACAAACCCAGCTTTGCAAGATCTCTTCATTTTAGCAATGCCACAATGCTTCCGAGTCCGTTGCGGGAGCATCGGAGTCTGCACTCCTAGGTCGCAACAAGAAAGTGTTTCTGCACTTCGGTTCCTCTCGTTGCGCTGACCCAAGACAACCTACCTGTTGAAGTTCATTTCAGCGCTCCGGTCCGAGGACTAAGACGACCAAACCTCAATCCCCTCTTTGAGTGCCTAAAACGAAACAGCAGCCTCAACACCTCACTTGCCCTTACCGCGCCTCCCACGTCATCCGACAGTCGAGAGTACCGAAAGCAAAGCCGGACACTGATTTGTGGTTACGCCTGCATAGATCCTCGCTGTGCATGACACGAGAACGTGATAAGACCACGGCGCGGCTTCGTCTGCGACTCCCTGCAACTGCCTGACAGGCTGTCACTACATGAATGCTGAGCCGAGCTGGATGGGTCCAACAGATTATCACGCTGGTTCTAGATTCATTGCTGCATGTGCCCTTCAAGCCTTCTTCTCTAGGCGAGGACAACCAGCAAATCGAGTGCCTCCGCCAGGCTTGCTCTGCGTCGACGGGCAGCGACACCGTTGCCCCAAGACCCTGGTGTAAGATAAGTGAAGATATGCTGCTCATGTCGATTTGTGTGTTCCACGAGGCAACGAGTGACAAAGCGCAAATACATTCACAGTCCTGCGAGGACAAGCTGCAGTGGAGCACAAGCCATCGTCGCAGGTCGTACCTTTGATGGAGCCCAGAGAGTCACCGAGCAAGGCATTCCAGCGCAACTAACACGATCCATGCTGAGCGAGCCGAAGCAAACTTCTAGCACAAACATACACCCACCCCAGAACTCGTATTTTTTGACAAGGTGCTGAAGGCGCAATACAAAGGCACCCGGGGCGTCGAGTGTTAAGGCAAAGTCGGGTTCCAAGCTAAGGCGGAGCTCCCCAGCAGCCAGCGCCTTCGAGGACCACACGCTGAGAGTCAGTAAAAGCCAGCCCGAGCCCTTGCCTGAGCCAGTCCACTCTGTGCGAGTGCAGCACGGACGCCGAGCCGCCAGCGCCGCTCTGCAGCACATCGCTGTACTCGGCTTAGCCGAAAATCCCCACCTGTCGGGAGAAGGTCTTGACTGTCAGAAAAAGAGTGTCTTCTGCCACAAACCCTTCCGTGCCGTGTCACAGAATCAGTATACAGCAGTCCTCGACCCAGCAAAGCATCAGCGAGAGCTGCCGGTGCTCCCAGCCGCCCGTCCAATGCCAGACCCTGCAGCAAACCTCTGCGCCAGGGCCAGTGGGCGATTGAGAGCAAAGCCAAGAGCAGAGAGAGGACTTGCAACGAATTCCGCACATCGCAAAAATTCAGAGACCCCTGAACAGCTGTGGGTTTATGTAGGTGTGTGCCAGAAGCACCTGCAGCGATCTGTACAGGAGGCTGGTGCGTGGCGAAGTTGTCACAAAGCTCCTGGCAAGATGATGGGACAGGCCTGTACTTCGTACTTGCTGAGCGGATAAAGTATGAACTTACGCTTGCTCTAGGTCAGAAGCCTCTGTGCAAACAAAAGGACAAAATCCCCTTCCAGCATAGCAGTCCCGTCGCATGAATTCCAGCTGGCTCATGCAGTGATCAAAGTTGGCAGAAGAACCTTCCAGCTCCGATCGTGCTTACGCGGCTGCTGCAAAATTCAGTAGATCATCTCTTTCCTGCAAATTGCAGAGTACGCACAACACCATCGCAGCAAATAGCGAACCTTCCACTCTTTCCAATGCCGCCAGTGCTTGCAGCGGCCCGTCATGCGGCTGGAGACATCCGTCAGCACGGTATTCGTGCAACCTAAGCTGCCCAGAACTAGATGCGCAATCATGAAGCCGGCTCTGCCGCTCATACGGATAGGTTGAATGGCACAAAGGAATTCAGTCTAGTCGCAGCAGGCTGAGCCGCAGCACACGGCCTTTCATCTGTTTGAGAGAAGCCTCCGCGGCAGCACAAAGCCAGCAGCCAGCAACAACGCCAGTCAGTAGCAGGAGCAATTGCAGCGTGGCAGCAGAACAAAAGAATCAATGTTAACAACAAAGTTAACAGCAAGGTAAACAACCACAATAAGCATAACAAAACCAACACAACCACAACCACCACCACCACCACCAGCACCACCACCACCACCACCACACTAACAACAACCATGAAAAATGTACCCACTCTGGCCGTGCAGACCCTCAGCTGGTCAGTTCATGTCGACGCCTCGACTGCGTTCGGTTTTGTGCGCTCCAATCTTTGAGGATATCGCTTCATGATCACCCTAAACGTGAAGAGCGTGTGAAACCCTCAGCCCTAATGGGGTGCGAAGATAACTAACCAAAAGTCCTGTAACACACAACAAATCAAGGGTGCAAGAGTTACAGAAACCCAAACAAGCGCATCTCCCTGAAACGGAAAGAAGCGCAACAACCGAGTGCGAAACCCAAGATGATGGCTTGTTGGTCTGCACGAATTTCACAAGATGCAAAACGGTCAACCCTGATGTGGTTTGCGGACCCTTGTCGCAATCTGTCCTAAAGGCCCCAAAACCAAGTGTTGGGTGGGAAGTGTCAAACTCGGGTGATGCGAATAAAACACCATAGCTCTGTTGCAATTGCAACATGCTCAAAGCGTAGGAGGACATTGCTAAACAGTTGTGGAAGTCCGAAACCTTAAACCCTAAATAGTGCAAGGGGTGAAACCCGCCGCCTGAACAATCTTTTTGTTCAACTGGGCACAAGACCCTAATGATACGGATAAAGACGCCATGTCTCTGGTGGGCTTTGGCATGTGACCAACACTGGAGGGGGACTTTGCTAAACACTTGTGTTTAGGTCCGAAACCTTAAACGGTGTGCTGGGTGCGAGACCCTTACGCCCCTGACCCTGGAGAAGTTTCTTGTCGGATCGCGAAACACTACATCAAGTGGGGGGATGCGAAATCCGAAACCATGAAAAAGTGGGGTGCAAAAACCGCTGTGATAATCTTTCCTCGACCAAACGTTGGTCGGGAAGTTTCAATCCCCAGTGACACTTCGGGTGCGAAACTCCCTGTGATGCGGATGAAGACACCATGTCTCTGTTGAACTTGGGCATGTGATCAAGGCTGAAGGAGGACATTGCTAAACACTTGTGTTTAGTTCCGAAACCCTAAACCCTAAATAATGCAAGGTGTGAAACCCTCCTGAACAATTTTTCATTGTGCTGGGTGCTAGACCCATACGCCCCTGACCCTGAAGAAGTTTGCTTGCGGAATCCCGACACACAAAACGAATTTCGGGTCGCGAAACACTACATCAAGTGCGAAAGGCCCGTTCGCCCTAAGGTGGGGGGATGGGAAATCCTAAACCCTTAAAATGTGGGGTGCAAAAACCGCTGTGATAATCTTTCCCAAATCAAACGTTGGTTGGGGTGCGAAACTCCAAACCCGATGTGCCCGTGATGCGGATAAAGATGTCTCTGTTGGGCTTTGGTATGCGATCAACACTGAAGGGGGACATTGCTAAGCACTTATGTTTAGGTCCAAAACCTTAAACCCTAAAATAACACAGGGTCTGAAACCCTCCTGAACATTTTTTCATAATGCTGGGTGTGGTGCCCTTACGCCCCTGCCCCTGACCCTAAAGAAGTTGCTGCCGGAATCTCGACACACACGCACAAAAAACATTTCGGGGCGCGAAACACTACCATCACTGCAACAAAAGCTGCCTGCTGGAACGAAGGCTCAAAAACCCCAACGATCGACGGTGGGCAACACAAAATCCGTGCTGTCCGACACCTCGTTGACGCTAGCATGCGAAACCCCACGCACTGAAAGTGTGGAGTGCGAACCCTAAACTAAGTCTTGTGTGCCAAGTGCCAAACTCAAATTCTACAAACACTTCGCGTGAAAGAGTCTAAACCCTGAAAAGACACTTGTGCGCGTGATTTGCTCGGACAATTGGTTCGGCTACTGCTACTTCTACCACCAAGACTACCACCACAACTACCAGTGCGACCACAACTACGACTGGCTACAAATCATCATCTACCATTCCATATTGGATGTTGCTGTTAACGAAAGACAAATCATCATCAGGCATCAGCTTGACCTCCACCAAAGCACGGGTAAAACCTTCCACCTTCACCTGCCTGATTTCAACCCACTTCGTTCTAACCCAGCCTTATCATGATCCTAATGTTCGTTTGTTCTTTGCGCAACAACCGTCGTGTTTCATGATCAACCAACCCAAGCAACGCAAGAGGGAAGTCACAGGCAAGCACAGCACATCACTCAAATACAGCGAGCATGAAATCTTAAAACACTTTGGACACGACCGCATGAGCCTTTAAGGCATTTCGTGGATCGGCATCCGCCGAAAACCGCTGCAGCTCCTCGCCGCCATGCCGGGCCACCTGCTTTCGTTTCGGCTTCTGCGATTGCATGTGTTACGCGAGGCTTGAAGCTAAAGCACGTGCTGACAATTGACTGCGCGGCTGCAAAGGACATACGTATCCAGAAGTTGATGAAAAGACGATAGTTCTATCTCACGATTTGCAGATTCAGCAGCACACAAACAGGCAATCATGCATCGGACCTGTTGAAGCACAGTGCCCAGCAGAATTGTGTCCACCATTAACGACGCCGATGGTAAGACACATGCATCTTCATGGGAAGAACGCCATGCGTGACAACATGCGAAATCATAGATTCGATGATGCCAAGGCCAATGTGTTGTTGACGTCACTAGAAATTCCATGCTTGTGAGCCCCATGCCATGCTCCGTGCACATTCAAAAGGTCGTAATGACGATCGATTGAGTCGCAATCTGGACAAAGGTATGTTTTTGGGAACGATCCACAAGGAGAGTCCAAATCTGAGTCCATGTAAAACCGACAGAACACAAATGTGCCTTGTTTGCTTCTATCTCACGCTGCCGCACAATTCTTCTGTTTCAATACTGTCAACCATGGAGCAGCGACTGCTTTGAGCTGGTCACAACAATTACAAAAAAACAAGAAAGGCGTGGCAACTTTCCTATTCGCGCACATCCCTTGACTTGCTCCTCTAAAACGTGTTGCCACTTGACTTGACTTTCTCCCCTCTTAACTGACTTTTCTGCCGCAGCCCTTTCGCTTGGAGCTCAATCTCTTGCCGGTAGACATGACAAGCAAGTGCACTGTTTCTTCGCTTGAAAAATAAAAAATGCGTGAACAAATCTGGCTTAAAATAAACCAATGCTCAGTTTTGTTTTCAAAAAAGACAAAAAAAAATGTTTTGCAAATAAGCTTCAATGTGGCCAGACAAGGTCTTTGAGTTTTCTCAAAAACCGAGCTTCTTGAAGACATGATTCCAAATTTCCATGCTTTCAAGAACTTGAAACTTCCATTGTGCAAAACACATCCAAACCTCTTTAGGGGGTGCTTCTTCCTTTTTTTCTTTGTTTCAGCTTATGTTTTTCAATTTGGGTTTCCTTTCGAATGCTGCTTCTTCTTTAAATTGGAAATTGTTTGTTCTTTCATTTTGGTTTGCTCTCATTTTATTTCTCCCACAGATTCCATAACGCAACAACGTCGTGTGAAAACCCTTGCAGAGCGATTTCGTGTGGGCGTCTTTCTTTCGTTGGTAATTGAGTCTTGTTCAAGTCCCTCCTTCAACCTTCCAGCTTGCTTCCCTTCACGTCTTCCCTTCAAACCTTTCAAGTCCCCTCGAAGCTCCCTTTAAGCCTTCTTTGAAGCCTTTAAGCCCCTTCTTGCCTCTTCAAGCCCTTCGACTCTGCGTCTCCTCTCTTCTCTGTCCACTTGAAGCGCCTCTTTCACACAGCATTGGAGAAATTCAAAGTGTTTTATGTCGAAGCTCACAGAACAAAGCTCTCTCTGGGGAGGGTGTTGTCAGCTCCCACTCTGTGATAGCTACAGGCCTTGTTTCGAGACATAGGTCAGAATTCGTTACTTTTGGGCACTGACGATCTGCGGGCCTACGGCCCGCTGCTCCCAC